CGTGGGTGCCTAGGGTTCAGTCTCTGCCGGCCTCTACCTATAGCGACGACGTGCACGGCGGACGGCGGCGAGGCCGCGGCGGAACTCTGGCGACGGCGAGCTCCCATTGCCCCACCCAAGCTCGGTACGAGCTTCACGGTGCCACTACGGAGCTAGAGGGGTAGGAAACGGAGGGTGAGAAGACTCCTAGCTAGCACGACCACAGTGGCTTCGAGCTCCGCGCGAGGTCGCGCACATGGCAGCGGCGGTGGAAATGGCCAAAGGCCCTCACCTAAGGTCGATTGATTGCGCAAAGACGATGACGAGCAAGAGGAGGTCGCGGCGGAGCTTTGAGCTGGCTGGAGGCGGTGTTTTTGTGGCGGCGAGCGAGCTAGGCGATGGCGCGGCTTGCTCGGCAACGGCGGAGGCGCGACGCTTGGTTCTGGAGAACGGGCGAGGCGAGATGCGGCGCAGGCGAAGCAAATAGGCCATCCAGCAGGCGCGTGGCGTCGTTGTGTCCACGATGACCTGACTAGCGGGGCCAACGCTGGCGTACGGCCTCCACTTGGCGCGCTCGGCCAGACGGCGGTTGACCACGACTTGAACGGCCGAAGCACTGTAGACGCGATTCAGTAAAAACCGATGGAGTCTGACAGCGAGTTTTCGACGATCAAAAATTCTTAAACTGTGTCGATCTAGCTCTAGGTTAAGTTGACAAAGTTGGAGATTGAAGTGAGAACTACAACTTTTCCAATTGGCACTTGAGCTGATTCGGTCAGGTTAGGGAGATACAAGGCTCCAAACAATGGTACAAGAAACTGAAAATCAACATCCAGACTTAAAAAATTTCTAAGTGTTGAAGCCAACCCCAAAACTGACTTGTGGGACCTTTTTGAGCATGTTGTGCACATTTTCATGAGTTGGTCATAAAACAACTTTTGCTCCTTATAAAATTTGCTACAACTTTGCTTTAGGTTGCTCAGACATGCAAACACTCTAAGTTGTACTTTTTAAACAGTCAAAAATAAGAGCTCTAGGGTCAACACAAGTCAAGCTATTACTTGGAAGTGTAATTTATGCAATATGGTCAACATGAACATTGTTGCTAATGACATTCTAAGTGTAGCTAAGTTGTTTAAGAGGACATTTGACACACATTTGCATAGACCACACATGAGCGCACACAATTGCTAGCATAAAACCAAGCAGTTCAAATAGAAACACACATGAAATGATAACATTCATAATGGTATGATGCTTATGAATGAGATGATGATGCTCATGCTCATGTGATGCAAGTGTTTTAGTGCAACCATAACACTGGGGTGTTACAACCACGTCACCTACTATAAGGCTCGGGGACTAAGTGGGCACACGAGCCTCCCCACCGCCCGTTCCCGAGGACGCAAAGCGGCGGGCGTTGAACCAGGCGCACGTCATGTGTTCTCTTTAAACTGGAAGACTCCATGCCTCTTGAAGTTGAAGATGATTATCTCCCTTCTCGTGGTCGGACTCTAAGTGGGCCTGCTTGGTTTACTGCGAAGAAATTTTCAATTTTGAGCTTGAGCTCCTTACATCCTTCTGGCAAGCCTTACTTGAGTAAGCCCGTGCTCGGCCAGACAATTAAGCTGGTTGATTATGGTTCACAACTGCTCGGCGACTCATTTGGGTGGTCAGACTATGAGTCTGACTGCTTGGTTTTGTTTACACCTGCTCGGACAAGCTCAAGACGACGTTGCACAGCGGATACAAGGCACTCGGGGACTAGCTGTGGGGTGTACGACCTCGGATACCCATGGCAGATTACATGGGCTAAGCCTCCAGGGGTGGTCCAGCCCACAAGACGAAGTCTTACGGTGCACGGTACTGCTCGGCGTGTACCGCAAGACATCAAGGGCGATATCCTAAAGATGCTACGAGATCTGTTAGGATATATTTGATCCCATGATTCCTATAATCTGTTATTACTTACCGGTTATCTCCTAGATCTAACCGACTTGTAACCCTAACCCCCAGCTATAAAGGCGGGTAGGGGACCCCCTCAAAACACACGCAATATCATACGATAGCCAATACAAACCAACAGACCATAGGAGTAGGGTATTACGTCGTGCTGGCAGTCCGAACCTGTCTAACTCTTGTGTCTCTGTTGCCTTTTTGTTCTTGATTACGCGCACCTCTGCCGATCAATCTACCTTCGTGGGATATCCCTCGGAGGACTGCCGATGATATTCTGTCGACAGAGCTGATCATGGTCCAATCCGTGCGGCACTTGAGGCTGTACCTATGGGAGTGGTCTTTCGTTGTCTAGACGGACCACTACAGCCTCAAGTTGCACTGGACTAGACTCGTCATGACTCCACAGCACCACCAGGTGAGCAAATTGCTTGTCTTCGATTTCAGGTAGAGTACAAGCCGAGTAGCAGCAACCCCATGGTGGACGCCCTCTCCCACACGACGTTGATGTTGAGGCAGCGCTCATGGTATCTGGACCCACCTTCGACATCACCGCTTCGCTCCAGACAGCAGCAGCATCCAATCCGGCCCTCATCACGCTCAAGGAGCACATCGCAGCTGGCTCGCGCGGTGCGCCGTGGGGTCTGGTGGACGACGTCGTGACACTCACCGTGGTGGATAGGTTCTCCAAGTCCGCCCACTTCATCCCCTTGGCACATCCATACTCGGTGGAGTCTGCGTGGCCGCCTTCTTCAAGGACATTGTGCATCTTCATGGCATCCCCACATCCATTGTCTCTGACAGAGACGACGTCTTCACTTCTGCGTTCTGGACCACCCTGGGCCACCGGCACAAAGATGCAAATGACATCGGCCTACCAGCCATAGTCCGGTGGCTAGTTAGAAGCTGCTAACAAAGTCATCGTCATATATCTCCACCGTTTCACAGGTGACCGCCCTCACCACTGGCTGTGATGGCTTCCCTCGGCAGAGTACATTTACAACACAGCATACCAGTCATCCCTCCGGGATACGCCTTTCCGGGTGGTCTACAGTCATGAGCCGCCCTCCATCCACTCCTATGAACCAGGTGACTTCCGAGTTGTGGCGGTGGATTGCGCTATGGCTGACCGTGTGGCCGTCTTGGCGGATGTCAAGTATCGGCTAGAGCAGGCCCAGGCGGTGGCCAAATGTGCCTATGGCCGCCATCACCTCACGATCTCCTTCAAGGTGGGCGACTGGGTCTGGTTCCGCCTACGCAGCACCTGCTGTCCTCGCTGCGTATCGTGGCACGTGGCAAGCTCAGTCCACATTTCTATGGACACTATCAGATCGTCCAGGAGATCAACAAGGTGGCCTTCTGTCTGTGCCTGCCGTCCGGTGCTCGCCTCCATGATGTTTTCCACGTGGCCCGTTCAAGCCACATTTCTGAGTACTCCACCGTCTCAACCGCCGAGCCTGTCCCTCACCTACAATGGGTGCAGTGATACCGACTCCGGAGCTCGCTCTCAAGGCCTGGCTGCCTTGCGGCGTTCGTCAGGTGTTGATTCAGTGGAGCGGACTACCAGCATCAGCAGCCTGGGGGGGGGGCTGTTATGTGGGGACGCACCTACTGCCGTCGTAAGAAAAATATGTCAGCAACAGAACACGTAGTAAGTGGATTAATAAGGTTAGATATCGGCTTAACTGATGGGATTGGCTAGATTTTGAGGGAAATTAGGAGATCTTGTTGGCTACTAGCCTGTGTAAGTCCTGCAGGGACATATGATTTGGCAACCAATAAAATAATCTTCCCACCGTTCTACCGTCCTCTCTACTGTATCCTTCTACCATAGATCGGTGGCAGCGAGGCATAGAGCCTTGGCAGCTGGCCGGTCACTCCTATCAACTGCGCTGGTTTGGTCCCATCTCTGCACTTCCTCTGCCTAGCCGGCCGTAACAGAGATCAGTAATATGCCTCTTAAGTTCATGAGTCTCTCTGTTAGTACCTTATCCCCCTCATCTAGTTCTTTGATCAAACCTTTCCTTTTCCTACCATTTGCTATCCCCTGGATGTAACTGGTGTTTGCATCTCCTTTCAGTAGCCAATTTTCCCGTCCTCTTCTCTGCTAGAACAATTCCTCTTTTTCATAAATTGCTATCAGTTCTGCTCCCCACTCATATCTTTCCTTCCACTCTTCTGGGCTCAAATTTCTGATCTCCACCACAACTTGTCTCTCCTCTCAATTGCTATAAATAATTCTTGTTTCTTTTTCCTTAAGTTACTGCCCCAGTTTCGCCCCCATCCTCTCATACTCCTGCCAAGGTGTTTGATATGTGATGCCAGTGGTCTATCACATATCTTTTGCTTCTCTGTGGCCACTTACTTATCACCCAGTCCTTAAAGCCTTCCTGTGTGAACCAGTTGGTTCCATTCTGAAAACCTTTGATCTCATTCCCCCCTCAGGTTTTGTGGTGATGAGCGGTGGGTTGTGGTCCAAACCTAGTCTTGTGAGAGACTGCTGTCGCTAAAGGATATTTCATCTCCCATGGAGGTGAAACCAGCGCTCTATCTAGGGGAGTGTTCGGCTGGCTGGCTGGCCAGCCAACTCACGGAATCACTATTCACGTCCTGCCAGAACAGTATTTTTCTCTCACAACAATCAGCCAGAACAGTATTTTTCAGTCCTGCCGAACAGGCCCTAGCACTACCATGATAGGGTTCAACCTTTTATTAGTCAAGTGTATCTCTCTCCACTTCTATGCATTTCTCTCGACATTCCCTCGCTATAAATTCATTAAAGGCATCCATAGAAGCTGTGCTCACGACTCCCAGAGCTTCTGTCAGCAGTTACATTGCAGATCAATGCTTACCCTTTAAGTAATAGTCATCTTACCCCATTTCCAGTCATGCATATTTCTGTAACTAGAGTAACATGTAGCTTTCTAGAATTACTGTTTTGTATGGAGCAAACATTTCCAGTTTAACTGAATTCTCAGAGGCTTGCTCTTTTGCTTCCAGAATACTCTCTGTTTCTTGGATTAACTGTTGACCGATTACATCACTATATTAGAGAGTTGAGAACGATGACGAAAAACATGGAGGATGTAACCAAGCAGAGCTGGACACTAGAAGAAGCAAAACTTGGAAGCACTGAGGAGATTCAAGGATACCAGAAAGAGGTTGCAAGTTTGAAGGAACAAGTGCAAGAACTCCAGAACCAATCACAAGAGAAAACTGAGCGACTAAAAACTGCCGAAGCAAATTCTGTTGCTTTACAGAAACAATCTGAAGGTTTACTTCTTGAGTATGATCGCCTCATTGCGGAGAACAGGGATTTGAGGGACCAACTGCAGTCAATTGACATCCGCCTGTCCCATTCTGACGGAAAGAAGAACTCGTGAAGCAAATTCTGCAATTTGAGGACCATAATGTTCTGTAAATTTTCTGCCAATAGGTTAAGTGTACTAGGTTTTATCTATTATCATAATCGCCTATGTAATTGAGTGGATGGATGCATGTATGTATGAGCGGATCATTTATGCTTTATGGGAGCTGACAGCCTCGTGCACTGGGAGGCATGGACTCAGACCCGGGAATTGGCCATAGTTTATTGACCTAACGTCATGGTTCAGTGAGATCACCAAACAAGAACCTGCATCTTCAAAACCAGGATGTAACTCGATTGCGCTCTTAATCGTTTTGGAGATTTGAAGTGGGAGGAAAAAAAGGGGTCATCAAACAGGCTCCTAAACCAAAATTTAAGGGTTCATGTCCAAAGCATAGGTCCAATAGGCTACAGGCCTACTAAAATGGTAGAGTTTTTCCGGTGTTTCTAAGTAGTAATAAAACACTATCACTAGTCATAGCACATAAGAATTCTCAATAGGAGACATTTGGTAGAAAAAGTTTATACTAAATGTAGAATGCTAAAACACTAGGAGAACCCCACATCACTAGGAGAAAGTTGTGGATTCTGGTTGTGAAATGAGTGTCCCTCAAATCTCCTCCCTACCCCTTATTCCTAGGGATCCTCCTCCGAGACCTCAAACAGTAGCTGTGTGTGCGGAATTGCGTCCCGTGCCTTCGCCTAGTCGCATGCCCATGCGTCCCTTTGCCGAGTATCGCTTGTTGCATGGCACATGATGATGACAAGGCTATGCCGGCGTGATCCCCGGGCGAGAGGAGCAGGCTATGGAGTCCAGTAGTGGGCTGGTCCGGGCGGTCCCCAAGCCCCGAGGGAAGTTCTACGTTTTTAGGGGGCGGTGCCCTCGGGACTAAAGAATATGCTCTGAACCTAGGGTAGGTGTGAGAGCAAATTGGTGTTGTGTAATACCCACGGATACCTATATGGTGCCCCCACGGGCTCTTGTAAGAATGATGAATGTCAATCTTGCTACTGCAGCAGCCCACCTTTGCCATTATCCTTTCGTCATCGATTCATCACCGCTTCGCGGTTTCTGACACTTCGATGACTCGCGGTGTTCGAAGACTTAGCTCTAGAACATCAACACGTAGCACACTCCGAAGACATGGTCTGTTGGAGCCAATATATCACATATGTGTTTTTGACTTAGCCTGTCTCCGATCTCACATTAGTGATGCATTTTGCTTTTGTGTTTTTGACATAGTGCAGCGTGATGACTTGCTCTGGTGCTCAATCAATGAAAAAACATGTCCTTGGTTGTTGTCACAGCATCCACAATTGTCACTCACCTTCGTATATCAGGATTCATTGTGAAAGTAGGTATGTTGTCTGTCCTCGTTGGCGTCATTGGCATGATCCTCATCGCTAACCCGGAACTGCCCCTTAGCACCGCATCTATGTATCTCCGGCTAGGGGAAGTAGTGGCACTACACTTCCTGCTAGGGGACGTGGTAGTGGCGCCACACTACTTCGACGTGGGATGCAGCAGCGAGTATGCAGAAAAAGAGCACGACCAAAACTGGCATCTTGATCCGCTTCGGATGCTCAGCCTCCTGGTCCTCAGTATTGTTGTGTCTTCAACAGAAGTCACACATTGCCCAGGCCCGTGAACGGGTGAAGGACAAGCTATGAGCATAGCTTTACTGTGGTGCACCCAAATGACTATGAGGCGTCCATCTAATTAAGGCTCTGTGTGGCGAGGCTTCATTTCACTTCACTAGTGAAGCCTTTTTTTTTTGCTTCAGCTCTACGAACGGCGATAGAGCTGAAGGCGTTTTAGTAACTCGTTTGACAAAATGGCTTCACCTATGTATCATGTATGGTTGAGAGAGGTCAATTGTCCAAGGTACCCCTGTGTACGCACATATGTAACATTTGCATCTTAACGCTTCTATATGTTTTTTCAGCGGAGTAAATTTGAGTATAAAATTTAAAATTTTATAAATTATAAATAAAATTCAAATATTACAGATAAAAATAAAAAAATAACATCGCAACCAATATGAATGCATTGCTTTTTTTACAGTACCGATCTGTTCAAACAAATATGCCAGTGCAAGGTGATGACATTCCTGATGGCATTCTGTGTAATTTCGGTGAGTTTTAGGGGCAGCACGTTGCGGGCCTAGGGAGGGAGCAAGGAGAAGCGACTATTTTTTGCTCCTTCCCATCCCAAAGCTCTGTGAGAGCATGTTTTTAGGAGCTTTATCGGTGGAGCCGTTTCATTTTACCCCGTTTGGCAGAAAACGGCTCCTAAAACCGCTGGAGAAGCCCTGCCAAACGGGGGCAAATCAATTTGGTTAGAAACATATTACTAGAACTAGAAGGTAATAGATGAAATATATATTTATTTAATTTCTATTTTTGTAAAATAGAATAAATAAGGAAAGTTCTAGATTAAAAAAAATCTTTTTTCTAGATCTAGTTGATGTGTCGGTGGGAATGCTTCTGGTACACTGCCCCGCCTAACCCTTAGACGTGTCCAAACCTTCGACGTTTTGGTGTTGCAGGAACAGAGATCGAGGCGAGAATCACAGGCGCCACACGAGATCTGAGCCAGCCCCAGTGAACCCTCGCAAGGCTATCTCGGCGAGGGTGGCCATGGGTGAGGGAGGCTACTGGAGCACCGAACGAAGGCATCCGGGGCACAGGAGGCCGGCGGAACTAGGACTAGAGTGGTTGGCCGAGAGGCGAGAAGTTACCACCATGCCCCTAACCACCTATTCAACCGTCAAGATGCCTTGTCAACCCTTATGTAATTTTACACCACCCTGGGTATGCCCTATAAATACTCGGTGGGTGGAACCTTTCCGGGTAGGATTTTTTATGAGCATTTACTCCAAAATTAATTATGTCTCCCAATACATCGCTATCCGTGTCCGTCTAGACATAACTCTTCGCCTGTGGGAAACCCTCGTCCTCCCTCCGCCTAGCCTCAAGTGAGGGTGGGTGGCTAGGAGTGACTGCACAGCTGGCGTTGTCTATGGGGACCCATCATGGCACAACATGTAACAATGGTGGCAATGTGAAGGACCAATGCTAGGGATACACCTCCGCGATCCGCTGAAACGGTAATGGGAAGCTCCACTGATTGGGTCGGAGCTTACGCAACAACCCAACCGTCCGCACCGACGTCGGGCGCTCTAGCGGGCGCACACAACTCTGATCCGCTCTTTCCTAGTAGCTCAGATGGAGAAGAAATATAAAGGGGTGAAGATGCTAAAGAAAGGGCCTTAGTGCCCTAAATCAGATGCATGAGGAACTATAGTAGAAGAGATGTCGCATCAAGGCTCTCGAGAGGCAAGCACGCCTAAGGGTAATTAGACAAAAGGCAGTCGAGGTGAGGGAACAACTAAGAAGAATGGATGAATACCTCGTCGCCGCTGAGGCCAACCCTGATCTCCAATTGTACTAGGGGCTCCATCAGCCACCATTATCAAATCCACCTAGCCCTTAGCTACAAAATGATTTACCACCGCCCCACCCCTACCCCCACCGCTACAAAACATTTCCTTTCATTTGCTCTATCCAGAAAACATCTACCCGGTAAACCAACCCCCACTTTGAAGAAATCAACCCCCGCCTATGCCTTACGACCCAAAATCACCACTAACCCATATTCTCCAAACAAAAAGCTGGCCACCAGCCTAGAACCCACAAAATCTCCCAAGATATGATGGTAACTATTGACGATAGTTAACACCCATCATAAAACGTTAATATAACTTGTATAAATGCATGAAAATGATCACCAACATAGGTTTAGGGGTTTAAACTAATAAATTCCACGAGTTTTTGTGAATCTCTATTTTCAGCAGGGTTTATCTAGAAAGGCGTCAAGGTGGACCCAAACGTCAAAATTAATCGAGCTTATTCACGATGAAACCAACTCTAGAAGACTCGGCCCCACCTGTAGGCCGGCCGGCCCCCTAGGCCCACGTGTTAGCCTCTCTTTGTTATGTTGGTTCTCCATCGCCTTATAGATAAGATCTACACCGTTGTTTTAAGTTAGTTTGATCCGAGGGCTCAGGATTGATGGTTCCCTCAATATATATCTACCCTACCACCCCCTTGGCAGATTATCTCCTCCTGAAACCCTGATCATGAGAAGAACCTCAGAGGTCCACAAATATTTAGGACATAGCTAGTTGAGTTAGATCTAGAGGGAGGCAAACTTCACTTGGATTCCTAATCTTGTCAAGAGCGTGGCTTGGTATAGCCTTTTGTATCCTCTCTCTTGTATCTTTCATATTTCATATGTTTGCTACATTTGTTGTGACATTATTCTCAATATTATTCATGTTTTTAGTTACCATATTCATCGTTTACTTTGATTATATGCTTAGTATAGCTAGATTATCTTTATGTTCAAACATAAGTTCATATAGCGCTCACTCTAAAGTACATGGGGTGAGTGGTCGACATTGTGTAAGCATGGTGCTTATACATTGTTTACCTATGGATGCACCCTATATTCCAGTCCATGTGGTAGATCACGAGTGTCACACTCTCGTTGAGTCCTTTGTGGTCCACTCCCCGAATATAGGACAAGTAGGATCTAGTTGCGAAGGAAGTTAGGCTCTATTCTTGATCTTCCTTAGTAATATCCCTTATGTGTAGATATGAAGTTGATCTTAGCCATGATTATTAAGTGTAATTGCACTAATCATAGTACGCTTTGACTTGTAATCAAGAATGACTTAGGAATTATTTCTCTATTGTATCTACTTAGCCATGCTAGTGCCATCTAAAGGAGTCATATGAGAGTTCAATTATCATTTTTCATTCATCATGCATATTATATTTATCTCTTGATTTACCCCTGTTGTGAGTAGAAGATTGGTTATGGTTTATCTATCACACCCGATTTTAAGGATAAAATGGGATGCAAAATCTTATGTGCGCCTAGAGATCAGTCACACACATAAGCTGACAAATTATGAATAGTATCATCATAAGCATTTATTACATCATGAA